TCTACTCTGGGTGATCCTGCTCTGGCAGGGGGGTTGGACTAGATGATCTCTAGAGGTCCCTTCCAACCCCTTCCACTCTGTGAGTCTGTAAAAAGCAGCAGCTGGTTTAATGCTCTCCCATCACAAACAAAGCAAACGGAAGCCTCATCCCCATCGTTGCTGTGAGCAGTGTGCGATTACTCTTTCATACCTGTTGTCCTAGAGGTATCACGCTCAGCCTGTTTGTGTTGGAGGAGCCATCTAGTAATTCATGTTTGAAACATATCCTTCAAACTTTATTTTTATGCACATTAATTAACTTGCATTGATGCATTGTAAACACAGAAGTGCAGAAGGTTTTTTCAGAGACTGGGCAATACAGGGGCAGCTGAAATTTGGAGTAGATGAATGGGAAGTGAAGTATGCAAGGAAACCCAGTTCTGTCTTTGGTATAAAATAAGGAGGAAAACACTGCTATTCAGAGGTGAAAATCTGGATTAAGGCAGGTAGTGCCACGGAAACATCAACTCGGTGCTCATCAGGAAAAGCAAATCAGATGTTAGCAGGTAGGAAAGAAATGGGGTATAAACCAGAGAACACAGCTATGTCATTGCTTGGTCCAGTGGCCCAATCCGTGGCCAAACTGATCCATGGACGATAGATAGCCCATGGTCCAATGCGTTGTATAAATCCGTGAATGCTGTGTGTTGGTCTCACCCCCTCGTCTCACAGAAAGGACTCAAGAAGTAGTAGGACCAGAAAGGTTCAGAGAAGGGCAAAATGGGGGATCAGATGTCTGAGTTGAGTCTTGTGTAGGCAGGCTAGGATGCTTTAGCCTGAGAACAGACGATTTAAGTGGATATACACTAAAGGTGTCCATAATCGTGAATGGCTGGGCGGGAGCAGAGAGGAAATGAATATTCACTGCCTTTTCCAATACAGAAGGCCAGGGGCAGCAGGTGAAGCTGATGGGGCTCAGGCTGAAAGCAAATTAAATTGTCTTTCACCCATGAATGTCCCTGCCAAGGACACTGAGGATGCAGGACCTGGACAATTGTTTGGAAGAGAGGTCTGTTGTGGGTTACTCAATAGATAGCAACAGGCTCAGGAAATCTCGATACTTAAAAGGAGTCTGAAAGTGTCATAGATGATTGCCTTGCCCTTATTATCCCTTAGCCACCTGCTCATAGCCAGAGTTGGAGACAGGAGAGTGGTCTGGACAGACCTTTACTCAAACCAATCATTTTTATATTGTGAACTATGAGATCTCTTTACAATGTGTCATTTTAAGGAAGCCAGTTGCTACAAAACTCCACATCCCTTTCCTCTGCAACACTATTAGTTTTCCACTTATCTCCTTCTTTAATGCAGAACACTTGAATCTTACTCAGCTGTTGTCCCCACACAAGGACATTCATCCCCAAGAATGAATCCTGCGGTTCTCCATAGCTCTCCCAACATCTCTGTCCTCTGGACTGTAGACAGTGAGAGAAAAGGGCAGGGTCCAACACTTTTGTGTCATTTCCATCACACAGAGAAAGAAACTGTTTTCTGGGTGTGCATACATTTGGGATATAGGAGACAGGTACACATGAACGGCCTTTGGCTTTCCAACCTGTGCCTCCGGTTGTGTGAGCTGGAAGATGATGTGTTGGACATGGTCTGAGCTTGTTGTGGGCAGCAGCATCCAGCCCAGCGAGCCCTGTGTCTGCATCCCTGCCTGCTCATGGTGGCACAGGGCTCTTCCCACAGCCCTTTGGGACTCTCCCTTGCTTGCTTTGCAGCCATGGGAAGGCAGAAGGGGTCATATTGCCAGCTCTTCCAAGGTGTGCCCACCAGTAGAGGACCCCACTCAGAATGCTATGGCTGTCTTCAGGGCATCACACCCCCTCATCCCTCAGAGCAATTTTACAGATACCTGGGACCCCAAGCAAGACACTTTTGCTGCTGAGAGAGCAGAGCGTGGGGACGGAGGGAGAAGGAGAGGACCGGGCAGACCTTATCCCTGAGGCCGCTCACCTTCCCATGTGAGAGGAGGATTGGGCTGATGCAACTGCCTTTTGCTGCCCACCCCCAGCTGCTTGGCCATGGGAGGCCATCTCCTGTGCTGGCTGAGAGCTGGGAGAGGTGAAGCAGGTACGGACATTAAGGTCAGGATGCCTCAAGCAGGGGAAATGGAGCCAGGATTTCAAAATCAGCTGCAGTCAGGGGGAAAAAAACTGTTTTGAGAGAATAAACCTTTGCCCATGGGAAGTTTCATAGGGTTTTCCTATGAAACAGCTGTCGTGTAAAACATATGTAACAAAAATCTGCTCTGGGGTGAAGCTCTGCGCAGTGAGTGCTTGCAGGGTAGAAAAAATAGTGGGTTTAGTTCATTTGAGCTTTCACAGAGGGTAAAATATACTGCTGGTATGATGTGTCAGAAGCAGAGATGCTCAGGGACCTGCCCTGCAGCATTCCTGGTGGGATGGGGTCTGGGGTCGGTGTCCCCTGCGGGCACCATCTGTGTGGCCTGATGTTCTGTGTGAGTGTTGCAGCCAAGGAAAGCTGGCTCAGGTTGTTACTGCATCATTGAGGGGAAATACGTGGTTGGGAGGGGAGGGAGGGTGAGGCCAGAGGGATGCTGATGCGGTACTGTGATACTTTACACCCACACAAGCTCTTCCCACAGCGATGCTTGCCCCAGCTCTGGGGCCTCTGGAGCTGTATCAGCCCTCGGCTTGTGGGCAGTTTAAGGTCATACGAAATGTGCAGGACAGGAGATCCCTGTTGCATCCCCAGCCGTAAAAACAGCTGCTGGCCTTCTCACCCACGCTGGGGACAGGAGGTGTCTGGACTACCTTGCCCTTGCACTCACTGCAGCTGATAGACCCTTGCGCTGGTGCCTGTATTTTTCATCAGAGACGTGGGGCTGGGAATGCACCCAAGAGCGAGTGCCCACTGCCTGTGCTCAGCAAGACACCGGATTTCCAGCCCCATGTCAACCTTACAGCTTTGGGCAGGGGCTGAGCCTTCTTAACATTCCTGGGGCACTTACCCTGTTCCTGGCATCGCTCGGGGCTCGGCACACACAGACATTGCTGGGGACTCTGCACACAGGGGCATCGCTCGGGGCTCAGCACACATTGCGTGAGCTTTGGCACACACAGGCATCACTCGGCGCTCAGCACGCTCAACAGGCATCGCTCGGGGCTCCGTACACAGGGGCATCGCTCAGGGCTCAGCACGCTCAACCCGCATCGCTCTGGGCTCAGCACATACAGGCATTGCTCAGGACAACTCCCGCTGCTGCTGGGCTCAGGGCCAGCCCCCACCTGCCTCTGTTTGTTCTTGGAGGCGGTGTTGGCCTTCAGGCTGCACCGGGTATTTGGCCTTGGGTATATCGCTTTGTCTGGCTTTTCTCTCCCACTCTTGGCTGTTTGCAATCTCCTGTGGGAGAAGAAACCTTCCCAGACCTGCTCCCCCCGAGCTGTTCTGTTTTTAACTCTTGCTTGGGCAGAGGCTGTGGCTCGTCTTGCTGGGGCAGAGGCTGTGGCTTGCCCCGCAGCCATGTCCCGCACTGGGTGCAGCCACGCGACATCAACCGGCAGAGCAAGACAGCCGAGTGATATATTCACCATTTCTAACGAACGTGCCTGTACAGGGCATTGCCAAGCTGTGCAGTGACCTGCCCCTGCCGTCTGCTGGTTGCTTTCAGAGTGTTTCTTAGCAAAAGCTTATCAACCAGCATTAGCAGGAACAGACAAAAAGCGCCTTCACGAATCCTGTGTGCAGAGAGGAGAGCCAAGAAGCTCTCGGGGCATCTTTCCAGCCCATCTGAATCCCCTCATTACACCAGGCCTGGTGCTCCCAGTGCAGAGCCAGCCATGGCATTCACCCTGCTCAGTGCCCTCTCAGAAATGCTCAGCATGCTGCAGGATCCAGCCCAGCCTGGTTGCCAGCTGTAATGCCAAGGAAAAATGCTAAAGTCACGGTCCGTCATAGGAAGAAAGGTCTGTCTTGCAGTGCAAGCCCACGTCTGCCCCCTGTAACATCCTTCCCGGGTCACATCCAGGCAGGGCTCAGCACCGTGCAGGGGAGGGTCTGCGGCTTCTCTCTGCCTGCCCGAGATGAGGGGAGCTGGTGGGATTTACTGCCTGTGGATGCGAAGCCACAGCCTCCGCTGCAGACCTGGGGAGAGATGGTGTCCATCAGCCCTGAGACCTCTTCCTACCTCCCCATCCCACTCCCGGGCTGTCCCAGGGGCTGACACCCCTCATTGTCCCCCAGGGCTGGCTGGATGCTTACGGTGGAGGCGGTAGGCGGTGGGGACCAAGCTCAGCAGGAGGACCAGGATGCCGGTGGCCAGGGGGACCCAGACCAGGGGGCTGCAGGCACCTGTAGAGCAGGAAGGGACATGTTGTGGAGCTGCACACCCCCCCTGCTCAGCACCCAGCATCATCCTGCCCCAGCAGCTCTGGGGGATGACGGGTGAGGTGGGGAGGGGAGAAAAGCAAGGCAAGTCCTCCGGAGGGGAGAAGGACACGACCATCACCCGGGGGTATCCCCAGGAGGATGAATTTTACCCCAAAAGCATTGCAGGAAACTTAGCTATGAGTCACAGTATCCTTTATTGTGGTGTCCTCCGGCACGGGAATTCACCATGCCTGCAGGGGCTGCACACCCAAGGGACACCAGAGCTTAGACAGAGCTAAATGGAGATACATCCTGGCCCTGAACCTTTGTATATCCCCGCGGACTGCTCCTCAAGGCAGAGGTCAGCTCCATCTGGAGCGGTGGACCCAGAAGCCCACCCCTGCAGGGTCACGTGGTCGTTGCCCCCACCCCAGGACAAACTCCAGCTGAACCTTGGAGACCCCAGGGAGCTAAGCAAAACCCTTTTGCAGGCCGACCTGGTGCCGTACCTTTTTTGCTGGTTGCTTTGCTTTCGGTTACGCACCGCACAGGCTTTGTGGAGAGTGGTGCTTGAGTGGTCTTGGGAGGCAGAGGCAGAAAATCAACTGGTGGATAAGGAGGAGAAGAGGATGGTTACTATGTCAGCAGGTGCAATGGAGGTCTCAAAATCAGGCATAAAGGACTGGAAATTTTGGCTTTTAAAGCTAGCCCCACCCGGGACCCCTGTAAGGGGCTGGGTCACACAGCGGGGCCAGGAGCTTGACCTGAACTGCTTGGTGGCCACAGAAGTTCCAAGAGCTTGTATAAGTGTTAATAAAACAATGTACCACGCAAACAAGGGCAGAAGGTTAAGGAAGGGAAAAGGGAAACTTCCTCGAACTACATTTACTGCCAGGAACCATCTCATCAGTGTTGCACAATATCACAGGCAGCAAAAAAGCCCTGGGAGGTTTGACGAGATCCCTGGATCTTTTCTGTATTCAGATTGCTCTAATCTTTGCTCAAAACTGGATTTTTTTTTTTTTCTGATAAAATGAGGACAGGATTTATTATGGTGTATCTGAACTACAATAGAGCATATTCAATTCTCTAAAATAGATCAGGAAATTATCCCAGTAATGTCATTAAGTAGCTGCACATCTGACTGCTCAAACTCCACTCGTTCAAAATTTTGGGTGATTCAAATTTTTTTTTTTTTCTGCTTCTATCCAGGATTGAAATTCCTACGGAAACCACCGTTCTTTTACATGGAAAGGTAAGACATCATGTGCCTGGGATTTATCTGGACAACTTCTCCCTTACATTATAGTAGACGTAAAGAAAAGGAACTTAGACACAATTTGTTTTATCATGTGTGCTGAAAGAAAAAAAAATATATATCCAGCAGGGCCTGAGTCCTCTCAGAGCACCTGCCGGTGTTTAGTTTTAAACTGAAACGCCTTTGATCATGCTGAATTTCAGCCCTATTTTTTCATGCTTTGCTTTGCACATAGATATGTGCCCAGTTGATAAAACCCAGTTCTCCTTTATCTTAAGCCAGCTTTTCTTCAAGGCGGCAAGAATGCAAAAGGAATTTCTCAGCCAGCTCAAGGTGCAGGGCATATTTGCAAATAAAACCAGAAAGTCTGGGACACTGGGGATGATTTAGAGCCAGCAGCCATAGCTGCATCTTGGTTAAATAAGTTATTTGTCTTCCTAAAAGCCTGCAAAGAAAGGGCTGAATCCTATTTCAAACATGCTCATTTTCCTACACCACCTCCTGCTCAGCGATCAAGGGGAACATGGGCTGAAAATTGCTGCTGTATGACCCAGGGTCTGTAAAGGGTCTCAATGCCACCAGCAGAGAGCTCTGATTTCTGGTTGGAGGTCTCCAGTGATGGTGGGTTGGGAGCTTTGAGGTATAAATCCTAATTTAATCATTTATGTGAAGGACAGGCTTGAAACTTGCAGTCAGACCCAGCCCAGAGATGCAAGGGGTGATGTCCTCGGGCCTTGATGCTTCTCTTGTCACTTGGAGGAAGGGTAAGGAAGAACCAGGGCACAGGGGGACCCCGGGGCATGAGCAGGGCACACATCCAGCCTTTCATCCAAAGTACCACAGGAGATGAGGAAAGCACAGGACATGGCAATATCACAGGCTGAGGGTCTTCCCATGGGAATCCTAAAACTAGGACCAATGCAGTACTCAAGGTATGACCACAGGAGAGCAACTGCTGGGGGGCAAAAGGACTATCACATGCAGCTGACCTAAAAGTTAGCTATTATTTTCTGTATTTTCTGCCTTATCCGGTCTCACAGGTCTCTTCAGAAAAAAACCCTGAGACCCAATCTTTCACCTCAAAATTTGGAAGGCTCTTCCAACACACATCACCCCTTGCCCAGGGGACCTCATCACAGCCTGCCGTGGCACATTTTGGAGCCCTGGGGGTGACGCTTACCCACACTGAGCTGTGTTCCACTGCCCAGGAGGAGCTGGGAGGACTGGAAGACGGAGCAGTAATAGGTGCCGTTGTCCGACGCGTGGAGGTGGCTGATGTGCAGGCTGTAGAATTTGTGGGAACTCGCCCTATGGACACTAAACTTGTCCTGGTTGATGTTTGCACCGTAGGTGGCTTTGCCCAACAGGTTAGAAAATATCAAGAACTCAAAATTTTGCCTCTCCTGGCTCCAGCGGTACCAGTACACCCCAGCATACTCATTCTTCAGCTCACAGAGGATTTCTGTTTTACCGTTAGTTTGGGATAAAATACGCTCCGGAGTCTGGGATAAAAGTAGATTTGTACAGAAACCTAAGAAAAAAAGAGATGGGAATACATAGTTGTCATTTTCTTTTCATTATTTTTTTTTCCATGCTAAGAATAGATATTCTCTGTGGGCTTAATAAGAACAAGTAGTCCCAGACCAAGGGATCCCATGACAAAAAAACAGGAGCATCTTTTATCAGGGTGCTCCCATACTCCCTCAGAGGCCTTTTTGGGTTCCCCAGCTATTTTTTGGTCAAGCCAAGTTATATAGGTAGAGTTTGCCCTGCAAACACTCATGTAGGGAGATGAGGGACTTTTGTCACTCTGTGGCAGGGAGAGGGATGGAGGCATGATTTTGAGGGCGTCTTCAGGGCTGTATGTGCAGGGAAGGGCATCCCCACCTGAGGATGCCCCTCTCCTGCCCTCCTTTTCTCTCTCATTTTTCAGGGAGGCTTCACCTTTCTTCCAACAGGTATGTTTTTGAGCCTCTTGACTTACTTGCCAGATTTTGTTCTAACAGATGCAGCACTGATAAACTTCATCCCAGGTGCAGGAAAAAAAACCACAAACCCCAAACCCAAAAAACCCAACAAAACATCTAAAAATGAGCCAATTTGAGATTAGTTTCAGACGATATTATTTTTGTATGAATTTTGAGACATGTGGAAGGACAGGGAGCGAGGGGTGGCGGTGGGGTTGTTTGGTTTTGGCATCTCATCGCCCTGTTTGCGCTTTGCGGCTTTGGTGGAAGTTATCTGTGTTTGGCCTGGGCAGATGCGAGCGGTGTCTGCGTGCGAGCGAGGATGTGTCCTTGTGGAAAGGATCACAGCCAACTTGTGATCCTTTCTGTTCAACAAACAGTTCTTCAAAGCTGCAGATACTCTGAGGCCAAGTGAAAAACAGCCCTCTGAAGATAAGGATGCTCTCGCTTCCCCCGTCTTTTTCCCAGGCGTGTTTTAAAACTGTACAAAAAGCTGAACAAAACACGGGGTTTTGGCTTTTTGTACCTTAAAATGGCCCTATTCCTTCAAAATCCCAAAGGTGCTTACAGTAGTTGTTGCAAACAACCCCCTGCAAACCGAGTGGTGTGGGAACGGGTTTGCATGACCCCGAGAACCCCTGAAGCCATCCCTGTGGCCCTGATGTCCCCGATGGAGACGGGCAGAGGAGAGGGCTCTGGTGACTGACACAGGCCCAGAGCCTTTCTCAGTCCCCACACCGACAA